TAATGGTCTCGGGCTGTTTTTCATGGTTCGGGTTAGGCCCCTTAGTTCCAGTGAAGGGAAATCTTAACGCTACAGCATACAATAACATTCTAGTCGATTCTGTGTTTCCAACTTTGTGGCAACAATTTGGGGAAGGCCCTTTTCTGTTTCAGCATGACAATTCCCACGTGCACAAAGCAAGGTCCATACAGAAATGGTTTGTCGATCGGTATGGAAGAACATGACTGGCCTGCACAGAACCCTGACCTCAACCCCCTCGAACACCTTTTGGATGAACTGGAACGCAGACTGCGAGCCAGGCCTAATCGCCCAACATCAGTGCCCGACCTCACTAATGCTCTTGTTGGTGAATGGAAGCAAGTCCCTGCAGCAATGTTCCAATATCTAGTGGAAAGCCTTCCCAGAAGAGTGGAGGCTGTTATAGCAGCAAAGGGGGGACCAACTCCATATTAATGCCCATGATTTTGGAATGTTATGTTTGACGTGCAGGTGTCCACATACTTTTGGTCATGTAGTGCATCATCAGTGACTAGGCTACGATATTCTACACAAAACCAACTGAAGACTGAACACACATGCATCATTAGCAAAGAGAAAGCGCAGTCGAGCCAGCTGCACTGTGATTTGCACTTTTTCTTAACGTTAAGAAACCCAATTTCGTTTTAACATTTAAAATGGTCACACCCCCTAACACACACACACACACACACACACGGGTGTCATGCCTATTAAGTCTTAGCAGATTTATCCATTTGCCCCTTAAAAAAAGACAGAAGATATTGGCCGTGTCTGAATACCCGTACTAGCGCTTTAAATGGTAGGCTTTTTGGATATGCGAAAATGTCAACATTTGACGTTTTTAAGATTGAGTATGCTTTAAATGCCAGGATGTCATACTCATTTCGGCTTTTCGTCTAGTAGAATTCACTTCATGCTATAGAGTAATGGCGTCTTTTTGTAGGTGCCATGGTTCGTTGGACAAAGCCTATGGGAAAATTTAATTATTGTAGGGTTTTTGGATAAACGGCGATAATAAGGTCTGTGGTAAACACAGGATTAGGGGCTCTTATGTTTTGTTCTATGAGAGAATCTTCATCAGCGAACGTCACTTTTTGTACACTTATGCATTTCTGTAATGCATTTCTGTAAAGCACAAAGGCTTCATAATTCATAAATGTCTTGTTAACTGACTGATTATCTCATAAAACAAAACAACATGTGTTAACTTCAGACCTTTATTTTTGGCATTTATCCCAAAACCCTATTCTTTCCCTATTCAATTTCCCCCATAGGAATGGCTGAACAAACCAGAGGTAACGTATTTCCGATTTAGGACTTCAAGCTTTTGCGCTCTATTGGGGAAGAGAATTGTGTGCAGTGCCGGCTCTAGCCTTTTGGGGGCCCTAAGCGAGATTTGGTTGGGGTGCCCCCCACCTCGCGGCAAAACATTTTAGTGGCCCCCCTCTTGCCGGTAGATATACATTTACATTTTTAAAGTTCATTTCCTGCAATTCTACACATTTTTGCCATGGGTTTCAGATTTTTTTAGCAGTTTTAAAGCCAATTTCCTACAATTCTACACATTTTGTAATGACGTATGCCATGTTTATATGATATCTGAGTGCGAATGACTAACAACATCAATGGGGGCCCCTTGGAGGTCAGGGCCCCTGGGTGGTATACCGTATATTATTATATGCCGGTATTGAAGCACGGACGGGTTTGGGTTTTTACTTAACCTTCTATAATTGTATTTGAATGTTTGGTTTGTAAAATGTGATACGCCGTGTGTAATGTACATTTTTGTAGTTTACTCCGCTATTTGAGTCATCTCTCGCCACTCTCTCCGTGCCACTTTCCACACAGACCGTGCCCCGCCCCCTGTCACTCAAGGAGCGCATTTGTTGTTGCTCAACCACGATACACTTGCGTTCAGTCTGCATGGTCATGCAACAATGTTGATAAAAAAAAAAAAAAACATTTTAGTCATTTAGCAGACGCTCTTATCCAGAGCGACTTACAGTTAGTGAGTGCATGCATTTTTCATACTGGCCCCCCGTGGGAAAAGAACCCACAACCCTGGCATTGCAAGCGCCATGCTCTACCAACTGAGCTACAGGGGACTACATGATGACAACTGTGCTGTTTCCGCTTTGCTTCTTAATATAAATCCACAAGCGTTCTATATTTACACCTTTAGTATGTTTCTTACATCTGCAAACAGCTAGTTTGTCTTTTCTTAGCAAGTTGTGGCTAAATTGTGTTGGCTTCTAATGCTATCCGCTGATGCTAATCGCTAGCTAATAAACGAGTCAGAGCAAACGTAGCTAGCTATACAGCCTGATCCCAATGGTGGTGTAGGCCTAAATCAGCATGTTGTTTGCGCAACAGTACCTTCTAAATCAAAGAGGAATAGGTGAAGCATGAATATAATGGCCAAAGATTATAGGGTCCTCTAGGAAACACTGACCAACACTTTGTTTCCTGGTTCTTACCCTGTCAAATTAACTCCTCCCTGGCATTTTCATTCGTTGCCATGTCAAACACTGTATTCAAAGTGCCCAATATTATATTCTAACTATAGAATTAGAATAATCATTATTTCCATGATTCTAACAGTTCATCTAAGTGTTCACAATTGTGTTACATTTGATTAAAAATAAGGCCTAGATTATTATTTTTTCATATCGTGGCAGTGTGGAAATGATCTCAAATGAGTGCAGGAAATGTATGACCATTTTGAGATTTTTGGGAGGTTGAAGTTGAATTGAACAATATGAAACAATCAGAATGAAGAAAGACCCATCAAAATCACTTATAATGTATGTGTTGCCACCCTAGGGTCACGCACAACTCCTAAAGCAAAAACGTTTAATATTCAAAAACATTAAATACCGTCAAATGTGGAAAATACAGTGAGATGATATTTTGGCGGTCGCCCAGCCCTACTAACTACCTATCTAAAAATAATTAGCTGAAAAGGCTAATTGAGGGACTGTCAGTGACTGACATAACATGAGAAAATCTACTGATGCACAACCAAATTTCTAAATTGCACCTGGTGTGTTCTACTATTCTTACTCTCAATAGTAAGTTGAGACTGAGTTTTTAAAGGTGGTCGTGGGCCCTGAGCAACCGCTTATGTTGCTTATGCCTGGAACCAGCCCTGCACGTGTGTTTGACAACAGCTGATAATCAGATCAGGGGACTGGTTGAAGCAAAATGAACGAATGGCGGGAAACAACGCAATTCCGCATTTAGATTATGCATTCTCAGTCAAATTGGTTGTTGATCATTTTCAGCCATTTTCATGTCTTGCCATAGATTTTCAAGCCAATTTAAGTCAACTGCCACTCAGGAACATTCTTTGTCATCTTCGTAAGCAACTCAAGTGTAGATTTTGCCTTGTGTTCTTTGGTTATTGTCCGGCTGAAAAGTGAATTAATCTCTGTGTCTGTTGGGAAGCAGACTGAACCAGGTTTTTCTCTTGGATTTTGCCTGTGCTTAGCTACATTCAGTTTCTTTGTATCCTGAAACTCCCTAGTCCTTGCCGATGACAAGCATACCCATAACAAAATGCAGCCACCACCATGCTTGAAAATATGGAGTGGTACCCAGTGACGTGTTGTTGGATTTGCCACAAACACTTTGTATTTAGGACAAAAAGTTAATTCCTTTGACACAGTTTTTGCAGTATTACTTCAGTGTTTTGGAATATTTTTTGGAATATCTTTTTATTCTTTTCACGCTGACATTTAGGTTAGTATTTTGTAGTAACTACAATGTTGTTGATCGATCCTCAATTTTCTCCTATCACAGCCATTAAACTCTGTAACTGTTTTAAATCACCATTTGCCTAATGGTGAAATCCCTGAGCGAATGTATTAATTTTATTTATTAGGTTTCTCTCTGGCAACTCAATTTGGAAGAATGACTATCTTTGTAGTGACTGGGTGTATTGATACACCATCAAAAGCCTAATTTAACACCTTCACCATGCGCAAAGGGATATTCAGTGTCTGCTTTTTTTTTTTTTTACCAATCGGTGCCCTTTGAGGCATTGGGGAAAATTCTTTTGTCTTTTGTGATTGAATCTGGGCTTGAAATTCACTACTCGACTGAGGGACCTTACAGATAATTGTATGTATAGGGTACAGAGAAGGGCTAGTCCATTAAAAAATCATGTTAACCCCTAGTATTGCACAAAGTGAGTCCTTTCAACTTATAATGTGATTTGGTAAGCAAAAGTTTACTCTTGAACTTTTAGGCTTGCCATAACAAAGGGGTTGCATACTTTTTGACTCAAGACATTTCAGCTTTTCATTTGTTATAAATTTGTAAACATTTCTAAAAACAAAATTCCACTGACATTATGGGGAGTTATTATGTGTAAATCAGTGACACAATCACAATTTAATTAATGTTATATTCAGGCTGTCACAAAACAAAATGGGGGAAAAAGTCAAGGTGTCAATACAATTAAGCCCAGTGTGGCTTTTCACATAGATCTGTCTTATTATAATGTTTTGTAAGTAAAGTCATTACTTCACATGAGACTAATCTTTCATTTTATCTCAATTTTTCTTACAGAAATTAGGGCAGTATACGTTAGAAATGTCTAAACTTAGATTTTGGTGGGTTTAATAGATATACTTCACTTAACCTATTGAGTTAGTTGATATTAGTGAAAATACTATGTTTGTCCTGGCTGCTATCATGGTCAAACACTCCCTGAATGAAAAGTTTACTACGCATCTCAGTGACTGGCTTCAAGACACGCTCATAACACAGACTTGATTAGTGAGACACTCTCAAAAACACCATCCATGGAACCAAACGTCGATGGAAGCCATGATGTAAGGTGTGCTGAAATGCTTTTATCGACGCCCACTCAGTCTTTAATATAAAGCGCTGGGGAGCACCTGGTTGACGGCACACTTTGGCTCTTTGTAAGGGCTTGTTTTAATAATGTATGGGCTGGGACTGCACAGTGGAGGACTATGAGTCGAGGACAGGGCAGGTGAATAGAGGGCGAGAAGGAATTAGCCTGTGCATGCACTTATATGCGCACGCACACATACTAACACAAGCAGGTATGCATACACTTTGGTAGGCACTGGTGTACACACACATTCAGACGCATAGATGCTCTATCTGTACACTTTGATGCGTACAGGCACATACTCTGCAACACAAACATGTATTGTACACATACACAAATGTACACAGAGGCATCGTCTTTACAAGAGAAATGTGACTGGATTCGCCAGAATAGACAGAGCATCACAGAGGTAATAGTGAGAGAGCGAAGTAGACAGCAGGGAGAGAAATAGTGAGGGGAGATGGAGAAGGGTAGACACAGCGGAGAGAAGGGTAGATGCAGCAGGGAGAGAGCGATATGGGCGTCTGTGAGCAGATCTGAGCGGCTGAGCCCCAAGTATTGAAGCCATCGCTCCATCACCTCAGAGTAGCCTTGGCCTGCAGACAGGCCAGACAGATGGGCCATTTCATACCCTAGTCATAAAGTAAGATGGTGGCAGACTGGATCTTTATTAGTTAGCCCTGCAGTGGGAGGCAGTGCGGGCATGTTGACCCTCTGTCCCAGGGGACCCATCCAGGGTCATTCAGCCTATCCACGCCCCTGCCTGGATCCTGATGATATGCTCATCCAGCTGCAGAGCACTCTGGGATAAGATGATAAAGCCCCCAGAGCATAGTAAATACAGTAAACAGAACCTGTATTCAATTAAAGAAATGCCTGTAGGTAGGTATATACCCAGTGGTTAGAGAGTAGCTGGCAAAGATGAACGGACCAAAGTACAGAGATCCTTGATTAAAAACCTTCTCCAGAGCGCTCAGGACCTCAGACTGGGGCCAAGGTTCACCTTCCAACAGGACAACGACCCTAAGCACACAGCCAAGACAATGCCGGATTGGCTTCGTGACAAGTCTCAATGTCCTTGAGTTGCCCAGCCAGAGCCCGGACTTGAACCTGATCGAACATCTTTGGAGAGACCTGAAAATAGCTGTGCAGAAACACTCCCCATCCAACCTGACAGAGCTTGTGAGGCTCTGAAGAGAAGAATGGTAGAAACTCCCCAAATTCAGGTGTGCCAGGCTTGTAGCGTCATACCCAAGAAGACTTGAGGCTGTAATCCCTGCCAAAGATGCTTCAAGTACTGAGTAAATACTTCTGTAAATGTTATTTAAGTTTTTTATTTCTAATAAATTAGCAATCATTTCTAAAAACCTGTTTTTGCTTAGTCATTATGTGGTATCGTGTGTTAGGTGAAAAATCTGTCGATGTGCCCTTGAGCAAGGCACTTAACCCTAATTGCTCCTGTAAGTCGCTCTGGATAAGAGCGTCTGCTAAAATGACATAAAATAAAAAAAATAAAAAAATAGCTTGATGGAAAACAACGATTACATTTTAGAATAAGGCTGTAACAAAATGTGGGAAAAAGTCAAGGGGTCTGAATACTTTCCGAAGGCACTGTAAATAGTTTGATTAGGGAATGCCATGTAGTTATTTTATTAACTGTAATCATTTTTCAAAGCCATTTTAGATGGGCTTGCTGTTTGGTCCGAACAGTTTCACAAATCATGGGAATTTTTTACACTGAAGATGTTGTCTCCCCTCTGAAGCACGTGTTGCTAGGCTATCCCACTGCACTTGCCTGGGCGGGGGGGGGCGCTGAAGAGTATTTCTGTCTGAAATAAAGCACTTTTGGGGGAAAACTCATTATGATTGGCTGGGCCTGGCTCCCAAGTGGGAGGGCGTATGCCCTCCCAGGCCCATCCATGGCTGCGCCCTTGCCCAGTCATGTGAAATCCATCGATTAGGGCCTAATGAATTGATTTCAATTGACTGATTTCATTATATGAACTGTAACTCATTACAATCTTTGAAATTGTTGCATGTATACTTAATAAAGCTGCATACTGTGTACTAATCATACTATTTAGAACATGCTGTTTAGTAAACATTTATGCAGTAAGCAACAATTGTTAACATACTAGACTCACCGATACTGAGAATGCGTCATCTAATGTGCAATTGCGTTGTTTCCAGCCATTAACACATTTTTACAGCACGTCCCCTTATCTCAAATTCAGCTGATTATCAGTTGCTGTCAAATACACCTGGGTCTGAAAAGACGACTGTTTCTCAATAGTGTGCAGTAAATTCAACTAAATGAAAAGCTGAAATGAGTATGACATCCTGGCATTTGAAACATACATTTTAGAAATGTCACACTATAAAATGTTATATTTTCACATACTAAAAATGCCTACTATTGATATAGAATACAAGTACCGGTATTTGGACACAGCCGCTGATTTAAAACTGGAGGAGGGAAGGGAGCAGAGATTGAGGAGAGCAGAAAGAAATGTATAGTTCCTTGGAAGTTGAATAGATGGAGGTGCACTGGAGTGGAGCTGTCTGATTAGGAAGCGCTTTAGCCTCTCTCTCCTTCATTCTCTCACTCTCCCCTCTGGCCCTTTCTGGATCTCTTTTTCTCCTGCCCTCCTCTCCCTCCCTGAGTTTCATGCTAAGTACAGTGGGGAAAAAAAGTATTTAGTCAGCCACCAATTGTGCAAGTTCTCCCACTTAAAAAGATGAGAGAGGCCTGTAATTTTCATCATAGGTACACGTCAACTATGACAGACAAAATGAGAGAAAAAAATCCAGAAAATCACATTGTAGGATTTTTAATGAATTTATTTGCAAATTATGGTGGAAAATAAGTATTTGGTCAATAACAAAAGTTTCTCAATACTTTGTTATATACCCTTTGTTGGCAATGACACAGGTCAAATGTTTTCTGTAAGTCTTCACAAGGTTTTCACACACTGTTGCTGGTATTTTGGCCCATTCCTCCATGCAGATCTCCTCTAGAGCAGTGATGTTTTGGGGCTGTCGCTGGGCAACACAGACTTTCAACTCCCTCCAAAGATTTTCTATGGGGTTGAGATCTGGAGACTGGCTACGCCACTCCAGGACCTTGAAATGCTTCTTACGAAGCCACTCCTTCGTTGCCCGGGCGGTGTGTTTGGGATCATTGTCATGCTGAAAGACTCAGCCACGTTTCATCTTCAATGCCCTTGCTGATGGAAGGAGGTTTTCACTCAAAATCTCACGATACATGGCCCCATTCATTCTTTCCTTTACACGGATCAGTCGTCCTGGTCCCTTTGCTGAAAAACAGCCCCAAAGCATGATGTTTCCACCCCCATGCTTCACAGTAGGTATGGTGTTCTTTGGATGCAACTCAGCATTCTTTGACCTCCAAACACGATGAGTTGAGTGTTTACCAAAAAGTTATATTTTGGTTTCATCTGACCATATGACATTCTCCCAATCCTCTTCTGGATCATCCAAATGCACTCTAGCAAACTTCAGACGGGCCTGGACATGTACTGGCTTAAGCAGGGGGACACATCTGCACTGCAGGATTTGAGTCCCTGGCGGCGTAGTGTGTTACTGATGGTAGGCTTTGTTACTTTGGTCCCAGCTCTCTGCAGGTCATTCACTAGGTCCCCCCGTGTGGTTCTGGGATTTTTGCTCACCGTTCTTGTGATCATTTTGACCCCACGGGGTGAGATCTTGCGTGGAGCCCCAGATCGAGGGAGATTATCAGTGGTCTTGTATGTCTTCCATTTCCTAATAATTGCTCCCACAGTTGATTTCTTCAAACCAAGCTGCTTACCTATTGCAGATTCAGTCTTCCCAGCCTTATGCAGGTCTACAATTTTGTTTCTGGTGTCCTTTGACAGCTCTTTGGTCTTGGCCATAGTGGAGTTTGGAGTGTGACTGTTTGAGGTTGTGGACAGGTGTCTTTTATACTGATAACAAGTTCAAACAGGTGCCATTAATACAGGTAACGAGTGGAGGACAGAGGAGCCTCTTAAAGAAGAAGTTACAGGTCTGTGAGAGCCAGAAATCTTGCTTGTTTGTAGGTGACCAAATACTTATTTTCCACCATAATTTGCAAATAAATTCATTAAAAATCCTACAATGAGATTTTCTGGATTTTTTATTCTGAATTTGTCTGTCATAGTTGACGTGTACCTATGATGAAAATTACAGGCCTCTCTCATCTTTTTAAGTGGGAGAACTTGCACAATTGGTGGCTGACTAAATACTTTTTTCCCCCACTGTATATACAGAAAGACTTGTTGTTTTAAACTACTGTGTACTAATCATATGTCATACTATTTAGAACGTACTGTTTAGTAAAATGTATGCAGTAAGCAACAAATATGAACATACTAGCCTCATCCATACTGAGAATGCGTAATCTAATGTGCAATTGCATTGTTCCCCGCCATTCGTTCATTTTGGTACAGCCCATCCCCTAATCTGATTGATTAGCGTTTGTCAAACACGTGGGCCTGAAAAGACCATTATCTTTCTCAATGGCATGCAGCTAATTCGTACTAGATGTAAAACCGAATTGAGTATGACATCCTGGCATTTAAAGCATACTATATTGTCGAAATTTCCAATGCTATAAAATGTCCTATTTTCACATACCCACACAGTAAGTGTTACATTTAACACTGTCAGCGAGTGCATATGATCCCACTCTACACAGAGTAAAAAGTACACTTATCAAAGTGTTACATTTATAGTTTTAATCTGGCACTGATGTTGGGCGATTAGGTCTGGCTCACAGTCGGCGTTCCAATTCATCCCAAAGGTGTTCGATGGGGTTGAGGTCAGGACTCTGTGCAGGCCAGTCAAGTTCTTCCACACCGATCTTGACAAAGTATTTCTGTATGGACCTCGCAGAATTGTCTAGAATGTCATTATATGCTGTAGCGTTAAGATTTCCCTTCACTGGAATTAAGACCATTATTCCTCCTCCACCGAACTTTACAGTTTGCACTATGTATTGGGGCAGGCAGCGTTCTCCTGGCATCCAGATTAGTCCGTCGGACTGCCAGATGGTGAAGCGTGATTCATCACTCCAGAGAACGCGTTTCAATGGCGGCGAGCTTTACACCACTCGAGCCAACGCTTGGCATGGTGATCTTAGGCTTGTGTGCGGCTGCTCGGCCATTGGAAACCCATTTCATGAAGCTCCCGACAAACAGTTATGGTGCTGATGTTGCTTCCAGAGGCAGTTTGGAAGTCTGTGGTGAGTGTTGCAACCGAGGACAAGCTGATTTTTACGCGCTATGCCCTTCAGCACTCAGAGGTCCAGTTCTGTGAGATTGTGTGGCCTACCACTTCGTGGCTGAGCCGTTGTTGCCCCTAGATGTTTCCCCTTCACAATAACAGCATTTACAGTTGACCGGGGCAGCTCTAGCAGGGCAGAAATTTGACGAACTGACTTGTTGAAAGTCACTGAGCTCTTCAGTAAAGTCATTTTACTGCCAATGTTTGTCTATGGAGATTACATGGCTGTGTGCTCAATTGTATACACCTGTCAGCAACGGGTGTGGCTGAAATAGCCAAATCTACTAATTTAAAGGGGTGTCCACATACTGTTGTGTATATACAGTGTAGGTTTAAGACTGGGCAAGATGGAGTGGCCTGGGTTGGGTGCGATAATCGACAAGCATGAAAGTGCATCCAACGCATCACATTTTCACAATGATGCTCAGAGAGTGCATTGGCTACTAAGAACATTTTGGGTGACAAGCAGGAGAGGCTTTGAGAGGCTGTTACGACAATGGCTTGAATAGCATGTCTGGGACAACTTTGTCAGAACTGCTAAAACCTGGTATTGTTGTACTGTGATGTTTAGTTTGACAGCCACTGTAAAGTAGGTCTAGCATTTTGCTTATTTGCTGCATCTTCCCTTGGGTAGCTACTCTACAAAACTGATAATAGGGATTATGGAAGCCTTCAATATAACTTTATTGAAGTGTTCCAAAGCACTGTTCTCAGGTGTGCCCCGTGCTTAATCAATGTCTGTCTACCTCATAGAAATATCTATTTCTGTGGTCTACCTCTCCAGGTTCGTGGGCCAGAATCTGATGCGTCTGCAGAAGCTGGGCGTGACCCACATCCTGAATGTGGCGGAGGGCAACTCCTTCATGCACGTCAACACCAATGCAGATTTCTACAATGGCTCGGGCATCACCTACCATGGCATCCAGGCCAATGACAAGCCGCAGTTCAACCTCAGTAATTTTTTTGAGGAGGGGGCGGACTTTATCGAGGAGGCTCTGGCACACAACAATGGCAAAGGTGAGTCTGACCACTCTGAGTTCTCTTTAATCTTATTCATAGGTGATTATTGTGTATATACCATTTCACCATGTAATTTATAAGCAAATACATGATCATTTCTGTACAGTAAAATAGTGGCAACTGCCCCTTATACAGTGCCTTCAGAAAGTATTCATACCCCTTGACTTACAGTGAGGGAAAAAAGTATTTGATCCCCTGCTGATTTTGTACGTTTGCCCACTGACAAAGAAATTATCAGTCTATAATTTTAATGGTAGGTTTATTTGAACAGTGAGAGACAGAATAACAACAAAAAAATCCAGAAAAACGCGTGTCAAAAATTTTATAAATTGATTTGCATTTTAATGAGGGAAATAAGTATTTGACCCCCTCTCAATCAGAAAGATTTCTGGCTCCCAGGTGTCTTTTATACAGGTAACGAGCTGAGATTAGGAGCACACTCTTAAAGGGAGTGCTCCTAATCTCAGCTTGTTACCTGTATAAAAGACACCTGTCCACAGAAGCAATCAATCAATCAGATTCCAAATTCTCCACCATGGCCAAGACCAAAGAGCTCTCCAAGGATGTCAGGGACAAGATTGTAGACCTACACAAGGCTGGAATGGGCTACAAGACCATCGCCAAGCAGCTTGGTTAGAAGGTGACAACAGTTGGTGCGATTATTCGCAAATGGAAGAAACACAAAATAACTGTCAATCTCCCTCGGCCTGGGGCTCCATGCAAGAACTCACCTCGTGGAGTTGTAATGATCATGAGAACGTTGAGGAATCAGCCCAGAACTACACGGGAGGATCTTGTCAATGATCTCAAGGCAGCTGTGACCATAGTCACCAAGAAAACAATTGGTAACACACTACGCCGTGAAGGACTGAAATCCTGCAGCGCCCGCAAGGTCCCCCTGCTCAAGAAAGAACATATACAGGCCCGTCTGAAGTTTGCCAATGAACATCTGAATGATTCAGAGGAGAACTTGGTGAAAGTGTTGTGGTCAGATGAGACCAAAATCGAGCTCTTTGGCATCAACTCAACTCGCCGTGTTTGGAGGAGGAGGAGTGCTGCCTATGACCCCAAGAACACCATCCCCACCGTCAAACATGGAGGTGGAAACATTATGCTTTGGGGGTGTTTTTCTGCTAAGGGGACAGGACAACTTCACCGCATCAAAGGGATAATGGACGGGACCATGTACCGTCAACTTGGGTAAGAACCTCCTTCCCTCAGCCAGGGCATTGAAAATGGGTTTTGGATGGGTATTCTAGCATGACAATGACTCAAAACACACGGCCAAGGCAACAAAGGAGTGGCTCAAGAAGAAGCACATTAAGGTCCTGGAGTGGCCTAGCCAGTCTCCAGACCTTAATCCCATAGAAAATCTGTGGAGGGAGCTGAAGGTTCGAGTTGCCAAACGTCAGCCTCGAAACCTTAATGACTTGGAGAAGATCTGCAAAGAGGAGTGGAACAAAATCCCTCCTGAGATGTGTGCAAACCTGGTGGCCAACTACAAGAAACGTCTGACCTCTGATTGCCAACAAGGGTTTTGCCACCAAGTACTAAGTCATGTTTTGCAGAGGGGTCAAATACTTATAAATTGATTTGCATTTTAATGAGGGAAATAACATTTTTGACATGCGTTTTTCTGGATTTTTGTTGTTGTTATTCTGTCTCTCACTGTTCAAATAAACCTACCATTAAAATTATAGACTGATCATTTCTTTGTCAGTGGGCAAACGTACAAAATCAGCAGGGGATCAAATACTTTTTTCCCTCACTGTATTTTATTTTGGGGGGGATATTGGACATAACGTTGAAGATATGCCGTTGTTTCAATGGTACAAATTGAACATATTTCATAAAAGATTTGTCTATGTTGAAATTTGGTTTCCATGATGACATAATCCTGTGGTTGAAATTTCACACTCAAAACAACAGTTGATTACTTTTTTCAACGTAGATTCCACATCACAATACGTTGACAAAATACATTGAAACAACGTTGATTCAACCAGTTTCTGGATTTTTGTTGTTGTTGTTCTGTCTCTCACTGTTCAAATAAACCTACCATTAAAAATATAGACTGATAATGTCTTTGTCAGTGAGCAAACGTACAAAATCAGCAGGGGATCAAATACTTTTTTCCCTCACTGTATGCCACATTTTGTTGTTACAGCCTGAATTCAAAATGGATTGAATAAAATACATCTCCTCTTCGAATTGAAAACGTTTTATATATTTTATTGAAAATGAAATACAGAAATATCTAATTTACATAAGTATTCAATTATTTGTATTGGCACCTTTTGCAGCGATTGCAGCTGTGAGTCTTTCTGGTTAAGTCTCTAAGAGTTTTGCACACCAGGATTATACAATATTTGACATTTATTATTTTTAAAAGACAATTTTCAAGTCTTGCCATAGATTTTCTAGCAGATTTAAGTCAAAACTGTAACTCAGCTACTCAGGAACATTCACTGTCTTTTTGGTAAGCAACTCCAATGTAGATTTGGCCTTGTTTTAGGTTATTGTCCCAGTGTCTGGTGGAAAGCAGACTGAGGCAGGTTTTCCTCTAGGATTTTGCATGAAAAACTCCCCAGTCCTTAACGATTACAAGTATACCCATAGCGTGATGCAACCGCTATGCTTGAAAATATGGAGGGTGGTACTCAGTAAGCGGCATCTAGTGGGCAAAGCTTGGTACTTTCGCACTAATTTAAGGTAAATAATGCAAGTCAAATGGCTAATTCCTCTGGACAGGGAAAAAAACATCACCAGATTCACAGGAAATGCATTACAAAGGATAAAGCTGCAGCAGCTCCATACTACTTGTTAAACATAGAGAACTGATACTGTGTACTGGTTGTTGGGGTGGGATTGGCGTGGGGGGTCCGTGGGCAGCTTTTGACAATTTTATTGGATTCCTCAAGTCTTACTCATTGTTAGGAAGAATTATGGTCCAAATCGGATGTTAGGTACTATATTTATTGAAGATTATATGAATCCTATAAATTAAAATAGCCAATTTGGGTGCAATTATTTAGCTTTCAACAAAATAATGTTTCAGGAAAGCTGATCTTATCTGTTTCTAACTACAGAAATGATTTCAGAACAATCTGAGATGGTGGGTGTCAATCCTCTTTCTTTTGCTTTTTGAGGTGGAATGACTCCTCTGTAATTTCCTCTGCTATCAATAGTTTGTTCCCCCTGGTAAAAACTGTGGAAAAACCTTTGTTGCTCCAAGTCCAGGTTACGAGAAGAGGAGTAACAGCAACTGTCCTTCAGGGCACAGGATCTAAGACTTTTAATGATGTATAAAAAAACATTAGGAACACCTGCTCTTTCCATGGCATAGACTGACCAGGTGAATCCAGTTGAAAGCTATGATCCCTTATAGATGTCACTTGTTAAATCCACTTCAATCAGTGTAGATGAAGGGGAGGTTAAAGAAGGATTTTTAAGCCTCGAAACAATTGAGACATGGATTGTGTATGTGTGCCATTCAGAGGGTGAATGGGCAAGACAAAATATTGAAGTGCTTTTGAATGGAGTATGGTAGTAGGTGCCAGGCGCACCAGTTTGAGTGTGTCAAGAACTGCAACGCTGCTGGGTTTTTCACGCTCAACAGTTTCCTGTGTGTATCAAGAATGGTCCACCACCCAAAAGACATCCAACCAAGTTGACACAACTGTGGGAAGTATTGCAGTCAACATGGGCCAGCATCCCTGTGGAATGCCTTTGACACCTTGTAGAGTCCATGCCCAGACGAATTGAGGCTGTTCCAAGGGCAAAAGGGGGGAGTGCAAATCAATTTTAGGAAGGTGTTCCTAATGTTTGGTATACTCCGCGTACGTCATCAGTCCTCCGGATTAACAAAGTGGAGATGGATACTCCTGTAAACTGTTTCTCAGGCCAGTCCTATTCCACATTGCTGTATGAGCTGATATTTCGGTCAGTTAAATTTGAGAACATTCCGCTGGTGATAGACCTGTTGTACCAAACCAGACACTCCACATTATTCCATAGATACCAAACAGATACCAGTTTGCCGCAAGTTATTTTTCCTTTCCTCTGTGTTACAAAGGTAAAACACGCTTAGATGCTACTTAAAGAGGACCATTCGATGTACCAGGACACTGTTTGAAACATATTGCATTGAACAGCACATTGATTGCATTTGGTAGTACTGTAAAACGTACTATTTGAAATATATGTCTGAGATTTGTAACAGAGCACCAACCAACACAAAACAAAGTGAAATCTAGCAAGGAAGCGAACAAGAAAAGATAAAGGAGTCCCATCACTTCAACCAAAACCCTCTAATTCATAACAGCCTCTGTAGACAGAAAGAACAAGAACAGCCATCTATCTCTGACCATGGCTCTGGCCCCTTGCTCCTCTCTCCTCTCTCCCAAATGTTACTGGGGTGTTGACATACACTGGGGACCCATTTTTAATTGGAGCCCTGAACACTGTGTTTTATGGCATGGATTTAATGTCATCTTTGACATACAGCGGAGCAATTATAAATCATCTTAATTCTCAGCCAATTTGGCAGCAGTTGCATCTACACCCCAGTAAATCAGTGGCTACCGTAGAGGAGGTGGAAGAGAAAGAGGTGGTGGAGGAGGACACATCTTTCCAAAGAGACACAATGCCGTAACACCAGCCCCTTCCTAATGGATAAAGTGTCTTGCTGTAACCCATCGAGGCTTGATCAGGGACATTTTGTGACCACCCTGCCGAGCTATGGAAAGGTCAGGGTTGGAGCTTGTGCACGTGACTCGTCAGCAGGGTTGTTCAGCTGGATGAGTGTGTGTGTGTGTATTGACTGAGCTAGCGTGTGTGTGTAGAGTGAGTCCGTGTGGGAAGCGATGAGCAGCTGATTTCGGGTATGTAATGAGCTGCTACAGTCAGCCATGCATTGATCGGTGGGAGGCATGGCAGTTGGGGATTGGAGAGGGGTCACTTCAATGGCAAGAACCTAGTCTCGAGACGCGGGGAGCAGCGTCGGGTTTCGAACACGCTGCAGAATCAGCTGATCTGAACTGAGCACAAGCAGATCAGCTTCTCGGTGAAGTTGGCACTGTGAGTAGGGAGGTTGATAATGAACTTATGCGTTGAGGAGGAGATGCATAGCCTACATATCCAGGCACGTGCACACACACACATGCTTTAATGAGGCTAGGGCAGTGGTTAGGCGCAGCAAATATGGTTGACATTGATTTGTCTGCCGCAGAGGTCAGGCCCTGGATTTGCATCTCCCTGGCTGAGATGCTTCGCTAGGCAAGTTTATTTGGAGCATCTGTTCGTTCCCTCCCTCCTTTCATCCCTGTACCTCAGTCTTCCCTCTCTTCTTCCTTTTACTTCAGTCGCAGTCTTCGTCAGAATCCCAATGCCAGAAATGGTCTCCTTTTATTGTTTCCATTCCTTTTTAAGACCACTGATCTGACAGGATTTGATGGGTTCAAGCAGTAGAGTGAAACCCTATCCAGTCCTCTCAACCATCAGTGTTCATGAAGGAATGGAGTTGAGTAAAGGGGGCCATTTAGGAGAATTGGGACGTAGCTCTAGGTGTCTGTCTGTGTCCATCAGGGAAGGTGTACGTCCACTGCCGAGAGGGCTACAGCCGCTCGCCCACCATTGTCATCGCTTACCTCATGCTGCGCCACAAGCTGGACGCCCGGGTGGCGGTCGCCACGGTGAGGCTCAAGAGAGAGATCGGTCCCAATGACGGCTTTCTGCGCCAGCTGTGCCAACTCAACGAGAAGCTGACGAAAGAGGGCAAGTTGAATGGGGTGATGCCAGTCGTGGCGGCCAAGTTAAAGACCAAATAAGACCAAATAAGGTTGGCTCCCCTAAGAGCCAACCCGACTCAATCCACCCTGACCAACACACATCACTCAGACACACATGCACATACATACATTCACAACATGTAACATACATACATACATACATACATACATACATACATACATACATACATACATACATACATACATACATACATACATGCATGCATGCATGCATGCATGCATGCAGTGCATTGAAAAAGTATTTGCCCCATTTCTAATTATCTCCTACTGAATGTTATCAGATCTTCAACCAAAACCTAATATTAGACAAAGGGAACCTGAGTGAACAAATAACACAACTATTACATACTTATTTAATAAACGAAGTAATGCAACACCGACTGCCCCTGTGTGAATAAGTAATTGCTCCCTTACACTCTAACTGGTTGTGCCACCTTTAGCTGCAATGACTCCAACTAAATGCTTCCTGTAGTTGTTGATCAGTCTCTCACGTCGCTGTGGCGGAATCTTGACCCACTCTTGAAGCATTTCAAGCATGAACTGCTCCTTCCAAGTCATTCAGTTCTTGCTTGAAAACCAACAAATGTTGCTGAGTTAAAGCAGTTCTGCATGCAAGGGTGGGCCAAAATAACTCCACAGCAACTGATCAACAACTACAGGAGGTGTTTGGTTGGAGTCATTGCAGCTAAAGGTGGCACAACCAGTTATTGAGTGTAAGGGGGCAATTACTTATTCACACAGGGGAATGTGTTGCATAACTTAATTTAAGTTTATTTGTAAACTCAGGTTCCCTTTATCTAATATTAGGTTTTGGTTGAAGATCTGATAACATTCAGTATCAAAAATAGGTGAAAATCAGAAAGGGGGCAAATCATTTTTCACGGCACTGTGCATTCATACATGCATGGTGACAGTCACACACACACACTACTCTGTCATGCTGCCGTCCTCTTTCTCACCTTCACTCCTCCTCTTTTTCTCTGTGGGTATCCTTGGATACATCTGCCCAACAGTGGGGGAGTTATGTTAGGCAGAGGAGAGATGGAAGCCTTCTAACCATGGCTCAATTCTGTAACCCAACTTCTGCCTCTATATTCCATAAACATACATGCCACCGCTAGTACATACAGCCCCAAAGTTCTCCCAGTGTGATGTTTTGACTTGACCAATGAAGCATTCCCTAGACCTAGCCATAGGTTTAGAACACTGGACATCTCTCCCTGTGTGCCACTTTTGGAGCTCTGAGGTACGAATAATAGATTATATCACCATTTTTCCATAGTGTCCCACTGCAGGGACTGTCTGACTACAATTTACATTTTTTACATTTTAGTCATTTAGCAGACGCTCTTATCCAGAGCGACTTAGTTAGTGAGTGCATACATTTCTTTTCATACTGGCCCCCCGTGGGAATCGAACCCACAACCCTGGCGTTGCAAACGCCATGCTCTACCAACTGAGCTACAAAAACGCCATGCTCTACCAACTGAGCTACACGGGACAATGATGTCATGACACCAACAAAATTATCCCTGACCAGTCTGGAATGTTTTGAGACACACTGGTTCATTTGGTTTAGACTATTCCTGATTGGGTGTGACAGCGTAGCACCCTGCCATCACACCAGCAAGTGACATGGGTAGTGTTTGGTGGGTTAATTTGGTATATCAACAAAACATTCCATAGAGACCAGAAACGTGGCTCCCCAAGATGTCAGCCAAAGGAATACGCACTTACCATGCCAGACCGTTACCCACTGCTAATTCCATAGTGCACATCTGTCATTCTGTCCATCCCATAGATCTACAGTTCCGCTGTCGATCAATGTCACTCACAGCAATTCCAATTGGCCCTTACATGTCCACTGCCTTGCACCAATATGTGTATGCCAATGTTATGCCTCTTTTGTCTTAACATACACATAATGAGGTGAAATCCCAAGGCCTTTGTTTGTCTGTTTTTAGTACATTGCTGTATACATCTCAATGCCCTACCATCCTATTAAAGTATATGGTATGATCAAATCCAGGAGATAAACGTCCCAGAAATGATCATGTCCGGTGTTGCACATACAGTTGCACATCAAATGAGTGTGGTAGGCTCTACAGTTCTCTGAAACAATGACATCGGAATCAATGGAAAGAAAAAGGCTCCGCAGACAAGCTCACTAGACATCTAGCCTTAGGGGGGGTTCATCCCTCAGTTGTTCAGAGTTGTCTTTAATTTAACTTCATCTTAAAGTGAGAGACAGACACTAACAGGGACAGAGAGTCCTAACGACCAGCATCACTCCATTTTGGACATGATGCACTGGAGAGGGGTCTAGGAACTGTTTTTTCACCCAGTTCTTTCCATGTGTCAAATCAGAATGCTCACCATGGCTTATTGGTGCGTCCATGGATGGAATGAATAGAAGTGGGATTAGTTCTCTCTCTGGCTGAGAAACTGAAAACTAGGTTGCGTTCTCTAATACAGCACTATCTATTCCTCTTTTTATATATCTATATACATAGAAAATACATGTGTATTTACATATTTAAGCATTGACATATATGAATGTAGAGCAATATCTTTAATGTGTAGGTATCATTAGTACATGTGTTTAATTATACTGTATATCATTACTGTAGCTCTAAATTAATTACCCCATAGATTAAACTTTTACACACTTATAGTTCTTATGTCAACATTAGATGACTCAATCCTCCCTCCATTAACTCGTCTACATACCTCTTATATTCCAACATCTGCATTTAAAGATGCTTTCATGCATTTTCCTATCTGTTTTGTTGAACATATGAGAGGGTGATATACATGGAGGGATTGTAGATCTATTTTGATTAGAATCTGTTGATTCTGTGACTCATGGACTCATGGTGCTCTGATCCCAACTTGCCTCATAACACCTTCCATCATTCACACATCACACCACCATCATCCCAACTGCACAATTATAATTTTTTCTTCTCCTAATTAATCAATTTGAAAACAAAGCGATAGTCCAGACATCTCTAACATTCCTGTTTTGATCTGAAGACCTAGGATTTATCCAACCTAACCTACTGTAGTTACTGAGAACCTTTGCCATCAACGCAAACATACAGTGTGCAAAGATTTTCTGTTCCAAGCAACCTACAGTAGCTGCTTACAATGTTTATGACCGGCTTGGTAACATGAAAGGAGTGTTGTCTATCTGGTTCTAATAGGCCTATTTCTATCAGGTCCATACGTCTGTTTTCCTACTGAACTACAATAGGCAACAAGACACCATTAGATTCAATTTAGATTTTTTTTATTCAAACCTTGATTACCAAGGAAAGGTTGAGTTATTCAACCAATTGGGAGAATTTCTGGCTATTGGTCTAAGATGAGGCTACTTTTTTCAGCATTAACTGCCTACAGTTGTTTACCAATAGTCCTTTGTTAGTACCCATTTTAGCACAAATTAGGTTAAATGGTTAATGTTCTAACAAACAAGGGGTTGTAAAATACATTGAACCAGCTCCATAGATCAGCATCAAACACACCCCCTCTGTTAGTGTTGAAGGAAGGACAAACACTGCCCCCTGCTGTTTCAAATGATTCCAGTGGTTTTTGCACAACTTATTCAGTGATTGAATGCCATTAAGCTGACACTTTATTTGCCAATTATCATTAGCCTTGGTTTCTGCTGTCTATTAAACAGTTTGAAGTATTGTAAAACATGGACTGAGGTGTGACTACTTTTCTTGTCTATTTTGAATAGTGTGCCATGAAATGTAATTTGTGTACTGTATATTCACTCTTGAATATAATATACAATTGAATTGTCAATGTATTAATGTTACATAATCTCTGTGCTTATGGATTTGCTATGTGATGTATTGTCAAGAATGTGAAATGTGATATTACTCTACTGTGTATTACTATATGAGGGATATGTAAGTTACAGTAATTGCACTCTGGCTATTGTGAGTCACTGTATTTTACCATCACAAAAGGTATTTAATCAGCCCTATAGTAATATAATGTCCTTGTGTTCCAGTATGCTGTTTATAAAAAGCAAAGGAAATAATTGTTTTATTAATGTGCATTTGAATGATCACAGTGTGTATGGTGTTACTTTTTTGTCTCATACTTTGATTTTTTTCTCTCTACTAATAAACGCTGCTCTTTTTATTATCTTTATAAACACTTGAAACAGTTAATATTCCAGCACCCAGCCTTCCCTAAGTCACCCTTCACTTTCACTGAATGTCTTTCATGTTTCCAGATTTACCATAGGTTTCAGACAGACATGAATGTCACTTGTCTTTTTCCTACTCCACGTTACCATTGGTGACATCAGTGCCACCTCCATTCCGTTCAGGCATTATGGAGTAGTAGGAGATTTGGCACAAATGACCCCACACTGCCTGGATTCCACAACCCAGTTATCCTCTCGTTCTCACAACATTGCATTCATGTCCTATTCTTGTCACTGAGGATTACTACTATCAAATATATTTGGTTGTTAGGTTTTGTGTTAGGTTCATTTCCTTTTCATACTAGCGTTAGCGGGCACTGCCTGGAGAAGGAACAGGAAACGCATAACAGGAAATGCATCATGATAGTAATGACACAGAATCCCACCCAAAAGCCTTAGACTGAAGATGTATATTTTCTATTTACGTACTTACGTCACACGGAATGGAAGGACGGCACCCTTGCAGATGGAGATGACACTGCTCGTTGAAGTGCACTTGATTTTGAATTGCAATGTTATTTTTCTGACCTTGAAAAGTTTTCTTATGTTAAACAATAAATGGCTAAGATGTTAACCTTGTTTTGGTGGATGGCAACATTTTTCCAGCTTGCATGTATGATACCAAAAACACTTGACACCTAGCGACATAACATGTTATGACACTGTCACAACCATGTCATAACAGCTGACAACTTGTCATATGGTCAAAACACTTTCCTGACACTTATTTAGATCTTTTGAGATATTGCATTATTTTATGGCTGGTTATGACACCTACATAAGTGTCAAAACC